TATGTTGCAATTATTTATCTGTCCTCAAATTTTTCCCCTCTAGGGACTGGAACTGGAGAATCTTTTCATAATGTCCTCCCACAAAATGACCTGCCCTATCCAGTAGCCTACACTCTCCCTTTACTGACAGCTGGTGCTGCAATTTCACCCCCTTCCATGGCTGTTATCTACAAATGCATTTAGAGACTCTGTTTTTAATTTACAATGATTACATCAAGATAGCTATCTAATAGGAAGTTAGCTAGCTGATGACATTTAATTCACTTAGCTAAACAGTGTGTGAAGTTAGCAGCCCAATTGAGTTAGCCTACAAAGTGGCCTACTGTAGCAAGCTAGCTAGCTAATAATACTTTTTTTTTAACACTTAAAAAATGAATTTACTTACTTGAATAGGTTCTCCCACTGCCTCCGTTTTTTGGGTCCTTACAAAAACAAAATAATGGGCAATCTTCATGACATTTTCAGTGGTAGCAAAGCGCAGCCAGCAGCCATGTGGATGTATGGAGACAAGGAAAAAAGTGTGTTTGTCACCAAAGTGGTTTAGAACGTGTTGTGACATTTGACTTTACCAGCGTAATCCACTTTCAAATTCAATAAATATAAATCTGACTGTCGGCCACACTTGATCACTTGAAACTAGCATAGGCAACAACTACCCAGACGGAAAACAGTGACGCACATTACACACAGCACCCCTTCTACGGGTGTGTAGGGGGAGGGTTCTTGAAATTTAGCATCCAATCCAGAGGACCATTCAAACCGTTTTTGCAATACAAAATTCTCCAGACCTCCAAGGAAGGCGTGACAACGATGTGATTTTGGAGGTATGGCAACGCGAGACTATGAGCAAGACAACATCAAATGTTGGCTTCCATACAAAGCATTCCGTTACAAAGGTTTTTGGTCACTTTCTCGTTTTAAAACATGCTATTCATTGTAATCAGAGGGCTAATATTAATACTATGCATGCCAGTCTCTTTTGGCTAAGAGTTGAGGAGAGATTGACTGCGTCACTTCTTGTTTTTATAAAAAACATGAATGTGTTGAAAATTCCAAATTGTTTGTATAGTCAACTAACACACAGCACTGACACACACATTTACCCCAACATGGGTTTTTCACAGTCCCCAGGTCCTGAACAAATTAAAGGAAACGTACAGTATTATACAGAGCCATGAGTGCATCTCATATAGCGCAAGTGAACAGCAAACCTGGTTTCATAAAAAAAAATAAAGCAACACCTCATGGCACAACGCCTCTCCCCCATGTGACCTACCTGTTGTGTGTATGTACTGACATGTATGTGTAACTGATAGATGCACACACTACATTTTAATGTTTTTAAATGTATGTAAATTATAAAGTATTTTGTCTGTATTGTTTTTTTAATTATGTCGGACCCCGGTAAGACTAGCTGTCGCCATTGGTGTCGGCTAATGGGGATCCTAAACAATCAAATACAATAACCCCTCAATAACTTTTCAACATCTAAAATGGTGAGACTGACTAGCCACCACATGGACAGACTTCATTAGGGTGTTTGTGTTGGGAGCATGCTGTCTATTTAGTCAGGCAATGGACACATTATTCTGACATATTTTAGAATGTGAAAATAATGTCAATGCATAATGCCATTGGGTGGTAATGCATACTTTTTTGTATACATTTAGGTTTTTTCTATAGGCTATTACAATTTAAATATAACATTTAGGTCCTTGAAAAAGTCATTGAAAGTCCTTGAATTTTAATTGCCAAGGTCTGTATGAACCCTGTATATAGCATGGCTCTCCAACTCTGTTCCTGGAGAGGTACCGTCCTGTAGGTTTTCCCTCCAATCCTAATCTAGCGCACCTGGTGCCAGGACAACAACCTCTCCCTCAACGTGATCAAGACAAAGGAGATGATTGTGGACTACAGGAAAAAGAAGAGGACCGAGCACGCCCCCATTCTCATCAACAGGGCTGTAATGGAGCAGGTTGAGAGCTTCAAGTTCCTTGGTGTCCACATCACCAACAAACTAACATGGTCCAAGCACACCAAGACAGTCGTGAAGAGGGCACGACAAAACCTATTCCCCTTCAGGAGACTGAAAAGATTTGGCATGGGTCCTCAGACCCGCAAAAGGTTCTACAGCTGCACCATCAAGAGCATCCTGACTGGTTGCATCACTGCCTGGTATGGCAACTGCTCGGCCTCCGACCGCAAGGCACTACAGAGGGTAGTGCGTACGGCCCAGTACATCACTGGGGCCAAGCTTCCTGCCATCCAGGACCTCGATACCAGGCGGTGTCAGAGGAAGGCACAAAAATTGTCAAAGACTCCAGCCACCCTAGTCATAGACTGTTCTCTCTGCTACCGCACGGCAAGCGGTACCGGAGCGTCAAATCTAAGTCCAAGAGGCTTCTAAACAGCTTCTACCCCCAAGCCATAAGACTCCTGAACATCTAATCAAATGGCTATCCAGCCCCTTTTGTGCTGCTGCTACTCTCTGTTTATTATCTATGCATAGTCTACCTACATGTAGATATTGCCTCGACTGGCTGGTGCCCCCGCACATTGACTCTGTGCCAGTGCCCCCTGTATATAGCCTCGCTATTGTTATTTTACTATTGTTATTTTACTGCTGCTCTTTAATTATAATATATTTTTTATTTTTAGGGTAAGTAATCATTTCACTAAGGTCTGCACCTGTTGTATTCGGCGCATGTGACATAAGATTTGATTTGATTCTAATAATTAGCTGGTTGATAAGCTGAATCAGGTTAGTTACAACTGGGGTTGGCGCGAAAACCTACAGGAGGTTATAGTAGCTCTCCAGGAACAGGGTTGGAGAGCCCTAATGTATAGGCTACTTGCTTAGCCTGTAAATGAAAGATAAAATCACCTGCTATTGAAATTTGCTTTCCTGTCAGATCTTGACCCGGGACAGTATTTTTTCATTCGGGCCAGTGACTTTCAGTTGGCACTGGCCCGGTGTGCCACTGGCAAATTTATCTGAATGACGAGCACTGCTGTGTGCGATGTGAGTAGGGCCTATAAGTCTACCACTTTGTGTATCTGTTAGCAATGCTAATGATAGCCTAACCGTTTTCGGGTAGGTGGAAAGGCAATTAAAAGGTAACTACAAAGTACCCTGCCTACCTGGCAGAATCCTGATTATTTGCATCAATCCAGTGGCCATTTGTTTTGAAAACGCCATCACAAATGTGCTACAGAAACACAGCTAGCCAAACACAACTGTCTGGCTGGTACACACCTGAATTAAAGGGCAACTACATAAAAAATTAAAATTTATCTGATTTTTCCAACACCTCAAAATTGTCCCCTGATGTGGTTTAAGCATTGTTGTGGACTTAGAACATCCCATTTTGTTGTTTTTCTATTAAAAAACTGATTTTGAGAGCGAAAACCTGAAAGAACGGAGGGAAATTAGTCCTTCTCCACGCTTTCTTTTTTTTTGCCGTGGTATCGTTTTGGTATCAAGTATCGTTTTTTTTTCTCCAATTCTGCCCTCTAGAGGATTTCGCAGAAAACATGGCACTTTGAAATCTGCAATAAATACATTTTGCACTTTATTGTAACGGTCTCTTTTCTTTGCCGTTACAGTAAAACTCTCCAAATCAATGTAAGAACACAAGGGCATGCTAATTTAAAAGATGGCTGGTCATTATTAGCCTGGTTCTGTATGGAATGAAGGCACATTATGGGAAACAAGCCAGGTAATTATCAATTATTTAAAAAAAATATCGTGCTGGTGCCACCAACTGAAAAAGTTAGTGTAGAACCCTGCAAACAAATCAACATATTGTACAAAAACACTATGCAGTAGTTACCACCTACGAATATCGGTATGACACTATTTTCTACCAAAGCAGCAGTGACCCTAGTTTCACATCGGAGCCAGAGCTGTATGCCAACAATTCAAACCCCAATGGAATAACAGACTGTGTTTATTATTTTCTAGCAGTGACAACCTAATTATAATGTACAGGTACAGGGAAGGCAGGGAGGGATTGGGAGAGTCTGTCAAGAGCTGCAGCAACCCCTAAGTTAAATTATTCAGCATTAGAGTGAATGAAAGCATTCGGCATTGGAGAGATTGTGTGTAAATGTTTGTTCAGGGCTGCACATATCAAAAGAGTCTGATTCGAGAAGAAAATGAGACAGCGGAACAGAAAAACATAAATAAGCGCAAGCGGCGTTGTGAGAGAGAAATGACAATGAAAAGTGTTTCTGTGTGTGGTGTAGAGATCTACCCAACACAGTATTATGCAAATAGTCCTGGCAGCGTGCTGTCACTGAGCGAGGGTCCCCTGGGCCAGTCAGCCAGCCTCATTAAAAACGAGCAGCACGCGTTTATGGAGATCAACAAAAGACCTCCCGGGCAGTGCGTCTCTCCAAATGTTACTTTCAGGTGGCGGTCAAAAAACATTGCCTTTGAGACGACTCAAATGTCGCCGGCAACATGGCGTGAGGCCTGAATGTGTGGCCGTCAGCTAGGAGGAGAGCTGCAGTGTGTGCTGAGTCCAACACGCCTCACAGAGTAGCCTCAGCGAGCTGTGAGGAGACGCAGCACTACAGCAGCTAGCACACAAACAACACAACAGCATTTCTGCATCATCAGGCATCAGCTCCTCTAGAGCCTGCTCTCATGCTCTTTGTGAGAGAGGAAGACAAATTCTGTCTCTTTGACAGCACAGAAAATCATGGTGGTGCCTTCGCCTTGCCCTCTGCTCTATACTGTCTTCTTCAAATAACACTGTTACACACATAACACAATCCCTCTCTGTATGGAATACAAATAATGTCCAACTCATTGTATCCCTTTTACAAAACATTGCTTTCAACATTATTAAAAGCAACAACAGACATCCTCTCTGTACCATGTATGAAAGAGATAACAAGGGCTGTTAGGGGTGTGTGTAGATGTGTGTAATCTAACTGGAACCACATGAAGTAAAAGGACGCCCCTATGTTTGTGATGTGTTGGCCCCACAGGTGGTTCGCGGGGTGTAGGGTTCATTCGCTTTGATAAGAGGATAGAGGCTGAGGAGGCCATTAAGGGGCTGAATGGACAGAAGCCCTCTGGAGCTGCTGAGCCCATCACCGTCAAGTTCGCCAACAACCCCAGCCAGAAGACCAGCCAAGCCCTACTGTCCCAGCTGTACCAGTCCCCCAACCGCCGGTACCCAGGCCCCCTGCACCACCAGGCCCAGAGGTTCAGGTAAATACCTGGGGCTCACAACAAGGGTCGGGAGGTCAGGTTCAGCCATTGGGCTATTGGTTCAAATGTACTGTAGAGTTGAGTATGGCATTTGAATGTGTAATTGCAACGATCAACCACCTTGTAAGTCATCAATCACCAATACGATCTTTGATTCTTTGTGCATTCAACCAAGAAAGCATTTTTGTTTTTGGAGCTCCACCCATAACAGAGAAGAACTGTTCACAAGAGACAGTGGGGTTCTGTCGTTCACATTGTCTCCATTACATCACCTCATCACCCTCCTTATTCCATAATGCAACCAACTGTCATCCCCTCTTTCCATCCACTGTTCATTCCCAACGCATACTTAGCATGATTCTCACCGATTCCAGACTGTAGTCCCAATGAGAATATATTAATTATAATCTGAACCTAAAAAATATTTCAGATTGTGGAGCAAATTATTATAAAAGAAAAAAAAGAAAAAAAAAAAAAATATATATATATATATATATATATATGAAAAGTTAGACCAACAAAGTTGGAAAATTGTAGATTTCAGTTATTAGTGATGCTCCACATTATTAATGACAATAATTGGTCAATTAGGCTTATTATATTTAAGGTAGGAGCAGGTTTTAATTGAACAGATTTTTCCATGCATTGAGAAGCAACACTATTGTGTGCTGTGGGCTTGGAGAGAGGGTGTGAAAAGCTGGCAACCAAGGCAGGTTGTTTTTTACGGCAGCAGCCCATCAGATGTCTCCAGTACAGCGGCCTGAAGCGCCTCCTCAGCACTTCCAGTCCAATTGACTCATTTACCCACAAAGCAGATTGCTCAGTCCCAGCCCGCATAATGGCCTAATTGCTGCCTTAATGAGTCAACATTTTTTTGTGTGCTTTGTTTAGATTTTTTTTGTCAGGTTCACAGACGGCATCTCTGCCCACTGATGACCTGCAGCACAGACAGTGTTTTGAAAGGGAGAAGTACTTTAGAATGGCCCCAAGTTCCCAACCCTTCCATTAGGCTGAATGGCTTACTAAGACATGAGACAGTGCAGACCCATGTGACAAATGATGGTCATTGTGTGACCATGCAAGGCTTATCCAAAAAGCCTCTGATTTATGTGGCTGAGTGGCTTCCATCCTTGGCCCACTGAGCACAGTGACTATCTGTCTGCAGGACCAGCCTGATTTTTCCTCCCAGCCAACTAGCAGCACTGACTAACAAACACCATCCCATTTGACATTCTACATGGACAGGTGTCAAAAGAAAGCTAATTGTTTTGGTCAGTTACTATTCAGTAGTGTTTTGTTAGTCCAAACCATGCAACATGATTCCCTGATTTGTCATCTTCCTCTCTTAAAATCTTTACCATCTCTCAAAAAATGCCAAACCATTGCACTGACAGAACTCTGGAGAAGGGGATATGTCTAATTTTTTATTTTTTTATTATTATTATACTATTTAGTAGTATAATATATGTTCATTTTGTCTCACAACCTTCTTGACAAACCTAATGCCAAAGTATCTGAGGGGCAATTGGAATAATGATGCAAAGCAGTTTTCATAGTTTGACATGAATAATCATTATTTCATTATGCTGTCCAGACTCAGGATCGACATTGAATTTGAGAAAGACAAGATTTCAAAACTTTCTTTGACATCAATACTATGGCTTAACTCCCAATTATAAATCACTTATACATTATTTGACCTCAACACAACAGCACAGATGTACAACGGAACCACTCTGAAAGCCCCATGCAGCATAAGAATGTGTGGAGCGTGAGAGTGCTCTCCATAGGGCCTCATGCTAAAAAAAGAAAATGTCGCTGTGTGCTGGCTGATTGGGCCACAGAGTGGCCTCTTGTGTTAGCGCTGTACAGTACTGTTGCTAGCTAGCCTGCTGCTTTGTTGCTGTGTGAATGACACCACCCCTGACTGGTGGGGCTCCTCAGTGTAATGGCCCATCTCTGGATAGCTTTCTTCCTTGAGCGAGGCAGGGATGTAGAATTAGTTCCATTGAGTGAGTCGACCATCTGCCTGGCATTAACCCCAGAACCCTCCTTCTCTTTACAGGCTGGACAATTTGCTTAATATGGCCTATGGCGTAAAGAGGTAATTAAAACTTCACCGAATGCCAGATGTCCATGTTGACAAAATGATTTCTATCCTGTTTTCTTCATTTTTAGAAGTCACTTGCATTCGATTCAGTTCAAGGTTATTCTGCCTTGATTTTTTGCTTTTCTTTAGCCTTGTTTAATTTGAATACACCAACCACTAGTCCAAAAGGAAAACAATCCTCTTTTGTTTTCTAACGTTCGATTTGCTTTGAGTATGATGAGTGCTGACTTTTACATTTCGATTGCTTTGGATAGTTTCTGTGTATATTTCTGTTCTCTTGTGTGTAGCTCTTTTTTAGGCGTGGTTTTCTACCGGATTCAGGTACTCTAGCCTAACCTCTGTCCAGCTTTAGATGTTACATTGGGATCAAGCTCAGTTTGAAAACACTAATATCAAAGCAGTGAATGGAACTTACAATAACAAACCACCCAATTCAATAGGACTTGCCACAATGGTTGTAATAATACATTTATTACAACGTGTTATTACAGCAGTCAGCAGTAGTGATGGGTGTTGGGGTTAAGGGGTCAGGGGTCAATAAGGGGCAAGATGGGAGAGGCTGGAGGCACCTGGATCCCTGCAGGAAATGCTGTTTCACTGCAGCCAGCTCGACTTCTGATCACCTCTTTTTGCTCATAACTTTTGCTTTTGCTACTGTTGATGTAACATAAAGTGAAGCGGCTCTGAGACATCATGATATCAGCTGATGACATTTTGTTGCATGTTAAAGTAATCAGTGAGTTCCTTTTGATGTCCACTCACTGGAATGGAAAGGCTGTGATCCCAGATGTAGCATGAGAAAAGAAGCATTTGCTTTTTTCCATTTTAAATGGAATGATTAAATAGCTTTTTCTGTGAAAAGAGCAAATCCCCTGAATTCATCAGTTTCCATAGCAGTGATTAGCAGCAATTCCTGCTCTGCAGAATCAGAGAATGAAGGCTCAACTATAAGACTGTGACAGAATGATGCATGGGAAAGACTCTTTAGCACATAGCTCTACCTCAATGTCCCAGGCAGCAACTCGTTTGTCTAACATACCTCTATTTGTACTGAGGGCAGGAAACAATTAATTCAGTTGAAGGGCGATGCAAATGATCTGGCCAAGAAAATGACGACAAAAAGAAGAGAAGACATTTATAATATTCACCAATATGCTGCAGTGCCTGCTGGTTCAACAACACAGCACCAAGGCAAAGACTATTGAATATGTACAAACTGTCAAAGCAGTAGAGTTTTGGAATACAGAAATCCAACAAGCCCTGCCTTTAGAAGAGCCTCTTGCTTGCTTGGCACATGGTTTGAAGTAGTGATGATTAATGAACAAAGGCAAGCGTAGTAGTAGTCAGTGTGCTTTAGAAGTGAGCAGTGGAGGTGGGAGCTAGGGGAGGGTGGGATGGCTGCAGGTCAGCCAGCCCACCCTTGTTGCTATGCAACTCCTCTCCTTTTCTATGGAAGAACCACACAGTGTGTTTGGTCCTGCCCTGGTAGACACCACTGTAGTCTCCTCCGTGGCTCTGTTAGCCAGCCTGCTTGTCTCTCACCCTCACACACACACATACCTGTATTTGCATTGAAATTACTATGGAGGTGTTATTTCACTCAGACAGAGAGATCAGAATACAATTGAACGTGTTAGAAAAGACCTTGACGTGACTAGAGGTTTTAAGACCCCTAGTGAAGGGAAGATTTGCTGTTAGAAAATATACATTTGACACAGGGGGAAAGAGTGACTGTAATGAGACACAAACAAGAACCTAAAAGCATATTGTGTTGGCAAAAATGTTAAAGCTCAAGTCGTGGCCAAAGTACTGATGAAAGGTCTGAGTGATTCTGTGGTCTGAGCAAGACTATCGATCACTGTCATCCTCATCCGCCCCACAACAGATGACTGTAGGAGTGGGTGGATGGAATACACTTTGTACCTAATGCAACTGGGTTGTAAAGTGTTTCCATTTTCCATTTAGTTTTCTTCTTCCTTCCTCCCTTCCTTAAGAAGGGAGGCTTCTCCGAGACAGCTGCAGTAAAGCGGAAATCTCAATTAAAGCATACCCAATAATGCCTATAGTCATTCCGAGAGGTGGCATAAGAAATTAACCTTTTATCCAATTTACCTTTTATTTAAAGTGGAAATGTCCTTTAAGCGGAAAGGCAATTAAGTGAAGTCAACTGAGCATTCAAATCTGTATCGCAAAAAGGGAGAATAAGTGCAGATTTACTTGGTTGCATACTCAATCTCTGATGAATTTCAAAATCTTTTAATTCTGCAAGTTCCTGCAATTTAGCTCCCAATAGAGGCACTCAGGAAGATCGAGGGAGAAAAGCTTCCCCTGTGTATCCCTCCCTCCTTCCCTCGGATGCTGCTGGAGCCATTTCCCAGCAGGCCCCCCTCAGAGCAGTCAGCCTTGAGAAAAGTCCACTCAGTCAATATGAGGGGAAATAGTCTAGCAGGAGGATACATTACACAGACAGACCCTTAGTCATAGTGCATAATGTGTACTGGGTTGCACTGGTAATAATCAATGTAGAATGGTCAGGAATGCTAGAACTGTTTGGTTGGTACTGTATGTGGATGGATGGGATTTTATTTGTCCTGTTTCACACAGTACAAGTGTGTATTAATACGCATGTGTGAATTAGAAATGGGTTTTTTTGGCATATCGCAACTCTCCCTGAGACACCCTCGGAGAGTGGGGTCATGGCGAGGTTCACTTTGGACACAATCTCATAGTTTGTAAATCCATGCACACGCAGTGGGTTTTCTATTTCTCTCAATTGGGCATTTGTTTCACTTAACATTGGACTATTTATTTTCCTCCCTCTCTCTTTCTCTCTGTCTATCTTGTGGTGCAGGTTTTCTCCCATCACCATTGACAGCATGACAAGCCTGGTGGGCATGAACATCCCTGGCCACACAGGCACTGGCTGGTGCATCTTTGTCTACAACCTGTCTCCAGACTCTGACGAGAGCGTCCTATGGCAGCTGTTCGGGCCCTTCGGAGCGGTCAACAACGTCAAGGTCATCCGCGACTTCAACACCAACAAGTGCAAGGGCTTCGGCTTCGTCACCATGACGAACTACGACGAGGCAGCCATGGCCATCGCCAGTCTCAACGGGTACCGGTTGGGTGACCGCGTCTTGCAAGTCTCGTTCAAGACCAACAAGACCCACAAGTCCTGAACCCTTCCTCACTCCAAATCCCCTGTCACCACTACCACTACCACCTTACAGTCGCCCAACACAGCAACTCTCCAGAAGGAACACAGCAAACAAACAAACAAAAAAAGAACTAGAAATGGCTTATACTATAACTTTGGAACTATAAGCCAATGTTGCCTAAGTATTACAAAATGAAATATTAAAATATCCATGATTTGGAACCCCTGTGATTCTACAGGATTCCTGTTGTATATCCTTTCTGTTCTTGTGGTTGATAAATTATTTTCTCTTCTATGTAAACAGTAGCAAAAACCAGTCCCCTTATTTCAAAGAAGAGAATGTCCTTTTTAGATGTAACTTTCTTGGTCTTGATTCAGGATTTTTTTCTTTTTTAAATCCGGATCCACTGTCGTTAGAATTATGCCTCCCTGACAGGAGGAGGGAGGGGGCTCTTTTTTAAATTGGTGATCATTCATTCATTTTTTGTGTATATTAAAACCCCCTAACAATTCAAAGGGATGACACAATCCTGTTTTCTCTGATGCAGAAAAAAGAATTTCTAACATTTGTTTGTTTTGTATTGCAAACAAAACATGTCTTTCCTCACTGGGGTTTGGGAGATGGGGAGAGGGAGGGGATGGGTTAGAATTCCTGATGACAGGTTAAGTGATTTAAAAAACACTGTTGCCAAAGAGAAAATCTCTTTGCTTGAAAATGCGTTTAGAAAAATAAAAAATAAAGAGAAGAAAATCTATTTTTATAAAATGATAATTAAAATAATTATTGAAGAATTTTTACAAGAATCTGGATTAGAAAAAATAGAAAAATATTTTGACTGGCTAATTAGGCGGTGGGGGAGGGATGGGCGCCACCTTGTCTTGTTGATTCTGCCGTGGTACTTTTTAGGAGCAAGGTTGTTTGTTTTTAGGAGAAATTGATTGGCGATGATTTTGTAGATGGAAGGTTTTGTCAAGGGATGCAAATTGAGGCGGGTGATCGTCGTAATTTTTCATAGTGCGTAATTATTCAACAGCGATACCCAAAAGGGAAGGGAGAGGGGTCTTTCAAGGCCTAACCATCCTCACAGTCCAGAGCCCAAAGCAAGAAGACCCATTGTCCACTTGTTTTCTTTTTGTCATCAGCCTATGGGATATCAGTAATGAATATATACACATCTATCCATTTAGAAAACATACATTATCTATTGTTTTCTTTGCTATAATTTTGTGGAATTTTAAAAGAACTTCCTTTAGCGATCAACAGTAGGTGCTATATTACATGATTCACATATCTTAAATATCCACGTTTGTTGTTCTATGTGTTGTTCAGAGAAAAAATACTTTGATGTTGGCATTGAATTGAGCTGCTGTTCTTGTTTATTTTTGTTGTTGGCCCCTATCTGGTTAGACTATTCCTTGCTGAAATACCAGATGACAGACTTTGGGCCGTGTAAGAATCACTTAACAAGTTTTCTTTGGCTTGCTGACTTTTAGGTTACTTGCTAAGTGTGAAGCGTTGTCAAAATTCAATAATAATTAGCTAGTTCTGTTAGTCTAGATATTTGTTTCCTCAAAGGATCTATTACAACTGTCTTTATTTGTTGTGTACAAATAGATAATATATAGTCTACATTTGTTTTACAATATCTATATCTATATAAGTTGTCACTGTTTTTTGTTTGAGCTTGTCTTTTTCATATGACAACTTTATGAAGTGATGGTTCAGTTACTTAGAAAACGTGTGAGGAATCCTGTTTAATATGTTGTCATGTCGCTTGTAAAAAAAAAAAAGAAGAAAAAAAAGATTTGGATAAACATTTTGTTATCTACTGCGGCAAAAGGAAACCGAACAAAAGCTTAGAAAATAACTATTTATTCATTTATTTATTTATTGATCGATTGATTGTTTCATTGTTTCAAGTATTTATTTATATTGATTATTTATTTATTTATTTTTATATTTATTTGTTCTGTTGTCTGTGTATTTGCGTGATTCTGGTACAGGGAGGGGTGACGTTTCTGAGCAAAAGGGAACAAAGCGACTAGGGGAGAGGCTCTTCCATTAGTCCACTGCACTGAGAACTTTTAGTACGTTTGTGCTTTGTACCGATATTGTACCGATATAAATTACAATATAAAAAAATCTAAAAGTTGAAAACTAAAAAAATGTCAAGAGGGTTGGTGACGCTCGTCCCTTATTACTAGAAACAGTTACTCGCTATGCATAACCTAGTTGATAGTTAAATTTGCTATTGCTTTTTTCTTGTCTTGTTAAACAAAATCTTTAAATCTTTTTCAATAAAGTTTAGTCTTAATAGAATGTTATAACAGTTGTTCTGGTTCAATATAACCTGTGATAAGTTTGTGTAGTTTTAAAGCCACTCCGCACCCTCCCTCCACACTACCGCTTTGTGATGAAACTTTATGCAAAAATGTGGGTCTGAAGCATAATTTTCAGTTTTCAAACATTTTATAACATCCAATTTTGGAGGCTCAGGCACCTGAATTCGATGAGCAAATGTCCATTGTATTTGAGGGTCATTCATTGCACTGGACTAATCAGTCAACTCACCTAAGAGTCAAACTTATTTTTAGAGAATCATGTTTGAAAATTACATAAGAACATCTCTTTAAAGATATCTTGAGCATTGTACACTAACTGTACTTATGGCAGTTGTTGATATTTAAAAAGACTGAAGGTATTTAATGGATTATACCCATTCTATATTTTATATACTATAATATGATATATATTTTGAAAGGTAAAGATAGGGAATGGTTCCTGAAGTACTGAATTGGATTTTGTTGAGCCAGAAAACATGAGGTGTAGGGAAATTGTAAACACTCAGACACATGCATATATATACTCTCTCATAAACACATCTTAGGCAGACCATCTGTCATCATCCAACAACTATACAGTTCTGACCTCAGAACGCCAACAGACCCCTTTTCATGCTCCAGAGCTGTTTGGAGCTTGAATTATGCAACGACCCCAGTAGAATGTTGTTCTGATGTGTGAACATATTTCCTATGTCTTTTGAACTGTGTTAATGTGCGTGAGTGTGTTTGTGAACATGTTTGTGTGTGTGTGTGTGTGTGTTTGTAAGGGTGTTTGAAACATGGGGATGCGTCACCTCGGTCTATGCCCAACCCCTATGGCTCACACCATCCCCTGTAGCGCCTTCTAGTGGCAGCCTGCCAATAGGCAATCAACAGCCAGTAGTGTAGGAGGGAAGGTTAAGAGAGGAACAAGGCTCTTGTCATTTTTCATTTTCTCCTGAAATGTGTTTGTTTACTATCTGAAAATCTATAAACTATCTTTAAAGACAAAAAAGAAGAAAAAAGTTCAGAGCCTAATTGGACTCTCCTATTTATGTTATTACTTATCAATTATCGATTATTATTATTGCTATTATTCTTAGTATTCTTATTCTTAATCCAATTACTGCGATGAATGACTTCATGTTATCCTTGCTAGTTTAGGTCATTTCTGAAACTGGAAACAAAAAAATCTTGCTGTAAATGTTTTTTTTTTCTCCATAAAACTGTTGTGTTTGAATTATTTGTACTTTTGAATGTTGGGACAATAAAATGAGGTGTTGAAGAGCGTTGTTGTTGATTCTCTTGTATGGTGTTATTAAGTGATCAGTTGCACATGGTATGTAGCTTTACTTCAAACTCACATCTTAGAAGCAGGGTAATATATTATCAGGGGTATTCAACTCTTACCCTACGAGGTCCGGAGCTTGCTGTTTTTCTGTTCTACCTGATAATGAATTGCACCCACCTGGTGTCCCAGGTCTAAATCAGTCCCTGATTAGAGGACAGAACAATGAAAAAACAGGAGTGGCACTGGCTTCGAGGTCCAGAGTTGAGTTTGAGGGTTAATTAGATGCTAGATCCTGTAGATCCAGAGTGATGTATCTCTAAAGTAGGGGTAGCCAGGCAACCCTGTTCCTGGAGTGCTGCAGGTACCGCAGGATTTTGTTTCAACAAGGCACCACACTTGACCAACTGAGCTAATTGATCAGTTCAGTGATTGCCTAAATTCAACACAGCTGGTCTTCCAGTTCGGTTAAATCCAAAACATGAAGTCCCTGCGGCACTCCAGGACAAGGGTTGCCTTCCCCTGCTCTGAAGCCTCACCTAACTCAGGGGTGTCAAACTCATTCCACGGAGGGCCTAGTTTCTGCAGGTTTTTTTTTTCTTCTTTCAATTAAGCCAGAGACAACCAGGTGTGGGGAGTTCCTTACTAATTAGTGACCTTAATTCATCAATCAAGGACAAGGGAGGAGTGAAAACCAGCAGACACTCGGCCTGCCGTCGAATGAGTTTGACACCTGTGACTAACTGCTGCCTTGGGAATACTAAAAGTATATTTCAATATAGATTTCATAGAGAATTATTCACTGCTCAATATAAAATATGTCACTATCATAACTGCTTCATATCTTTCTCAAACACTCGAAACTGTGGCATTTTGAACACCATGAAATACAGTATATTGTAATAGTAATGAGATAAAAGGCATTTGTCCTCTGTCTTGTAGACAGTCACATAAAACCCAGTCAGGTGGCACGTGGAGAAGTACAATTGTGAGATACTAGTGCCCCCTGCATCCCTGCTGAAGAATTATTTCTAACATCAGAGATTATCGCCGCTCACATTGTTGACATTAACCACGTTTCCATCCACAGATTTTATGTGAGTAAAGTCATACCGTATTAAAAAAACAGCTGTGATGGTGACAGGACGTTTCGGTACAATTGTATAAATGCCAACAGATCATTTGTACGTTCAACATGGTGGGATCTTTTTGTATTGGTAAGATTAATAATGCGGGCCACCCGAGTGGCGCAGCGGTCTAAGGCACTGCATCGCAGTGCTAGAGGTGTCACTACAGACCCGGGTTCGATCCCGGGCTGTATCACAACTGGCAGTGATCGGGAGTCCCATAGGGTTGCCCAGTATTGTCCGGGTTAGGGGAGGGTTTTACTTGGCTCATCGCACTCTAGC